TCATTCGGTCTTCCAACCATTGCATCAGTCAGTCGTTCAATCATTCAACCGTTCAATGAGCCAAGCACTCGGTCAATTAGTCTCCGCTGTATGGTCTAACCACTATTTACCTGAATATTAGTATGCATGCATGCATGCATGCATGCATGCATGCATGCATAGGTGTATGTATGTATGTATGTATGTATGTATGTATGTATGTATGCACGTACGTATTATATGTATCTATGTGTCTATGTATCTATGTATTTATGTAGGTGCGTACGTATGTATGTATGTATGTATGTATGTATGTAAGTATGTATGTATGTATGTATGTATGTATGTACGTATGTATGTATGTATGCGGGCATTTCAATGGTTTCCCAAACAATGTGCTAACACCATATAGGGTTCACGCGTTCAATTTGCAAACAGTTGATGCACCCATCCCCATGTCCTATTATTTAAGCTGGAAGCTCTCGGCGGGGTATTCAGATCGGCATGTAGGGACCCATTGGTCATGAATGATACAAGCCCTGCACATTTCTGGCTTAGATTTTTTGGCTTGATTTTGGCGGGTAGGTGGGAAGACGCGGATCAGTGTTGTTGTGGGCTCGTCCGGGGATTGGGTCCCACAGCTGTTGTGTCGGAACAACGGAGCCGTTGTCCAGGAGGAGCGCCTGAGTTGCCTGCACATGCAGGTGCTCGTGCTGCCATGTGCTGCACACCGCTGCTGTCACCGCCTGTATTTGCATCGCCCCAAGAAATCACAGATCCATCAGCACGAAAAGCCGCAAATTAAGGGTTCCTTGGTAGACGACACCCTTGATCCGCAAGGGGCACCTTTTGAAGCAGCCAAGCGAGTCCTTCTGTTAGCGAGTTCTTCAGCTGCAAGGTCAGCGTAGCCCTGCAGCATAACTGGGCCCGAGGCCGTCCAATATAGGTAAAGTCAAACATGCAAAACGTAAAGCAGCATGAAGAGACCGCAAGAGACAATAACTGGTGACACCCGCACGGGGAGGTTGAAACACATGTCTGTGTTCCTAGAGTTTCGTGATGGTACTCGCCGCATGATTGCCGGGATGATTCCCCGACCCAAGCCCAACCTATTGGCGAGAGAGTTATGAGGACTAAGGATGCTTTCGCCCGGGTTGTTCTTGCAGTGCCACGTACCGCCAACTAAGTTTCTGCAGAAAGGACAAGCTCCCGTCCCCTGTTGTTTACCTGCAGAAGCCAGAAGCCAAACAGGCCGCTCGAAGTTGGGGCCCGAGAGGCCTGAGCTGCCAAGTTTTTTGAAGACTAAGATCAATCTCCAAGAAGGCCTGGCAGAGCCGGGGTCGGGAGAAATTCCGCAACATCTCTTCAATTTCATGCTTGTCACTTGTCACTCCAATGTAGTCCTTAGACCAGCCTCGTCGGGCCTGTAGAACGGATCACGTGCAGCTGCAGATCCTGCGGCTCCCAAATGCCATCCCTGAGATCCAAGCTTCTCCACGCGATGCCACAGGTTGGGCTAAGCACTGCGAGCGGCACTATGCCACTGATTTGGAGGCCCTGGCCCCGGTCTACCCGGCAGTTTCATTAGTGCCCGGGCATGTTTGGGTGCGGGGTGTAACAGGAATCCGTTTGGGGAGTAACGGAAACCATCTCTCGGGGTCGTAACCCGAACGAGGGCTAGTAGAAACAACCGCACCTGTCCCAGGAAAGCCAAGCAAACGAAACTATGCCGGGACTCCTGTGCGGGCCCGTACTTTGACACCATGAAAGCAATATATGCTGACGCCTATGCTTCGTTCGAGGAATTTTGAGTTTGGGTTCAAACAAATCCACGGTTTGGGATATAGGATGCCATTGGCAATACACTCCTTGTCTCTGAAGCCACAAGTTGTTTTTGTGGAAGGAATATGGATGTTTTGTCTTACAAGAAGGCTCGTTCTAACGCAAGTCGAAGTTGTCGTCCTACGAGTACTCTTATTATTGGTGGCGGGGCCTAGGATTTTGCACGCCATCGTGGACTGACCAGCGCCAGCTTGGCTTGTTTTCTGGGTTGAGGGTTTAGACTTTCGGGTTTTACGTAGCGTTCAGGGGTTTAGCGTTTTAGGGGTTTGAGGTTGACGGGTCAGATTCAAGGGTTCAAGCATTTGCCAGTCGAGAACGGCTTTAACGCTCGAGAACAGCTCCGGGAGTTTGGGGTTTCAGTCAGCTCTTAGCACCAGAAGTAATACGAAGAACGAAGTGACGAGACTACACACAGTACCTTTCGTCATACGATCGTGCACACAAGTTCACGAAATTTGCAGCTTCACTCGCAGCAAACACATGCAGTGTTATGTTGGGGCGTTGATGGCAACACCGATGCTGTAGCCATCGGAAATTCAGGACAAAGGTTGCTGCGGACCTATGGGGTCAGTTTCTAATGCTACATGACATGACATTTTGAAGACGTATAAGTGGGGGGCCGGAAAGCGGTCCCTGAGTTGGCGAGCCGACGACAGCAGGTGGATGTGAAACAAGTCTTTCTTGGAGCCCCTCACTGGTTCGTATTACGAGGGGCGGCCTGGGGGATGTTGCAGGGTCTGGTAGTTGTTGCTGTTACGGGATCAGTCCCCGTTCCTGTTACGGGTTGGACATCCTGTCCCGTTAGGGCAAACGCTGCACGGGCAGCACAAGACTATCATCATCTGCAACTTGATTAAAATCCCCAGCAACCAACCAACTGCCACGGTCTAAGCCCTCTCGGGTCCAATACTGGCCGAGGGCCTCTGCAGCTACCCTTTCACATTCCGGCGGAGACTTGAACTTTCCAAAGCCCCGAGCACAGGTGCTCCTGCTAGTACGGAAAAGCGCATATTGCAATTAGTTGCGACCTCACGCAGAACGAAGCACTGGTGGTGAAGATTGTGCTCCTGGTACTATGGAAAAACACCTAATGGCGATCTGTGTTTTCCCAAGCATAGCGAATCAACGGTCAGGCGGTCGGGACCTCCTGCTCCTAATGGCGATCTCCTGCTCCTAATGGCATGCTGCATGCTTCTGGCATAGTATAGTATTTCACTGTTCGGGGATCTTCATGTGCGAGGTATGTATGTGTATACGTACATGTATGCACGTAAATGTATGTAGATGTATGTAAATGTATGTAGATGTATGTAAATGTATGTAAATATATTGAAATGTCTGCAAATGTATGTAAACGTATGTGAATGTATGTAAATGTATGTAAATGTATGTAAAGGTATGTATGCCCACCATTAAGTGCTACAAACAAAGCCAGTAAGTGCTCGGTTTCCGGCAGTACAGGCGCGTTCAAGTCATTCTTCATGACCGCTACGCCTCTGCCCGAAACCCTACGTGTAAGCAAAGTCTTCTCGGCATCTGAAAGAACCCCAACCCAAACCCAAGCACCTTGTCTGGCAGCTCGGTAACAGGCCTAAGCCAATGGCTCGGAATTACAGGCTTCTCGCAGACCAGGGCACTAGGGTTGTGGTCGGCACATGTTGGCTGATCTCTTGCAACTCTCAACATTAGATCGCAACAACAATGCGAGACAAAAAACATTCCCAAATGCCACTTCTGGCAAACCACTGTCTCCAAAATGCCAAACGACATTCTCCAAAAACAACCGCAAAAAATACAAAACACATACCTTCAACATCTGGCAAATTGCATTTTTCCTGAGAAAATGCAACACTGGCATTTTCCAAGCCCGGGTCACGTAGCCGAACAATGCCTTAAATTTACCATTTTCCGCCTTCCGAAATCCAGAACGCAATTGAACATTGCACGTTATTTTCAATCGCAATGTCCCAGCGCATTTGTTTTGCATTTGTTTCGCAATTTCAATTTATGAAGATCACTAGTAACTAGTATACCAGCCAAGTGTGACGAGCACAACACTAGGGGTTCCTTATTGCATAAAGACGGCCTTCCACCACAGTCAACGGACAAAGGCCTTCTGCTACCCGTACTATTAGGCTCAGTAGTTCTCTTCGTGCCGGGCCTCTGCGAGTCTGAGGGCCTGTGGTCAAGGCTGATCAGGGCTTTCGTTTCAGTATTGATTCAGTTGTGCCGGTTTTCCATTCTCAAAGCGAAGCAAGCCCTGAGATTCGCGGAGCCGAGTGTGCAAGCTGCATGGTCGTGACGGTTCACGGCCGAGGTAGGTCTGTGGGCAGCGCCGGGCGAGTCTGCCGATTCACCGGGCTCAGAGTACGAAATGTCAGTTGACACTTTCGATCACACAAAAAACCTTAAACACAACAAGAGCGTCTGGCTTTGGGGTCCAAATGGATCCAACTCCGCAATTCGAAACCCCAAGCCCTCTGAAGCTGAACCTGCATCCTTCTAGTCAGTGGACTCCGAATCCTGATTGAATGAAGCATCCACTATGATTCCTGCAGCCGGAACTCCACCCAGGATGCGTACCCTGCCCCTTGGCATCCTGTCTCCACTCCCAAACCAGCGGATGCTGGAGATTTCAGAAATCTGATCCAGACAGACAGGTCCTACATTGCAGTCGTTTAATTTCTCGCAAACGACCAGTGTTCGCAGTGTGCTTCTGTTGCTTGATTCTCTGCGCCCTAGATCCACAGTCATCTGAAACCAAAACCCTGAACCGGGAAGCCTTGAATTCCACAAAGAATCACAAAGAGACACCAGCCCATGGCCCGTGCGTTGTCAGCGTCGTGCGCTCCTTTGCGGGCTTCGGCCCCAGCTCGTCCATCTCGGCCTGGTGAACGGCGCAGAGGACACGGGCGGTTGGCGGCTCAAGCTTAGCCTTCTGTCTCCATCACGCCGGTCAAGGCCCTACTGGAAGAGAGGATCGAGTCGGAGGCTGCTTGCTTCGCCTTGCTAGGCACCGCTAGGCTGATTGAGCTGAAGCCACGACGACTAACAACGACCAGAAGGCAACTTTGATGAACATGTCCACCGCTTGCATGGATTGTGACTCCAAATCCACAGCCTGACACTGTACGTAGGGCCTACATCGAATTATGGCGGACCACTATGGCAGGTGGCACCTTGTCTGACACGGGTCTGGCAGCTGGCGCTTCCTCGCGAGCGACCCCCAGACTATGGACGTCTTGGATGATGCTAGTAGTTTTATCTCTCTGTTTCTGCTTATCTGCCTGTCCGTCGGTCTGCCTGGCTGTATGTTCATCTGTTCGTCTGCCTTTTACCATTCTCTCGTGTCACGAGCTATGGAAAGTCTGCAATCAAACGGCTAACTGTTTCGAGGCTGAAGACCTAAGACTCAGCGTTCATGACGGTTCAGGGGACTCTGTGGGCAAAGGGATCAGGGTTTGGGGAGTTTGGGGTTTAGCTTGCTTCCTGATGCACCAAGAGCTGGAGGATGCCGCTCCTCTCGAATGCTGACCCAACTTCAGCCTGACTAGATATTCCGAACATCAATCTTGAAGGTGGAGAGAGCATGAGAAAACAACGCCCAAACTCCTGGTACAGGTTGGCATCAGCCAAACATGATTACGCACACTATACTGCCGACCGTACACTCTTCATGATGTCTTTCAAACCATAAAAGGAGGTCCTCCGCCGTGACCATCTCGCCATCAGCGACCTGTAGAGAGGGAGGATGTGTGAAATCTCATAAGCCTAGGGTGCAAGGGTTCAGGCGCAACGAGGTGAAGAGGAGGAAAGAGATCCACGATGCTTGATGTATGCCCAGCACAGGATTCCTGATCAAGCCCTGGTCAGAGCCAGCTGCACATTTGTACCCTTATCCTTAAGGCCCGAGCCCTGAACCCTGAAACCCCGAAACTCCAAAAAACTCGAGAAGCAAAGGACCTGATTCCTCAACCGCAAAGCTCCTGAAAGCCTCCCCTTGGGGTAGCGCCAGCGTGAACTTCTCCACCTCCGCAAATTCAGGGATCGCCAGACCTCGGCACTTGTTGAGGGCTTGATGGAAGATCCCAAACACTGCTGCCATCACTGCGTTGACTGCTTCATCATGTCTCTGGCCCCTACAGAGTGCAAACCCTGAAGACCAAATGGCAAACGACATAAAACATCCGAAGACGAATCCTCCTCGCCCTGTTGCCCTTGTAAGCCTCAAAGGTCCTGGGCCAAGAACCCGACGCTCGACCCGCGAAGGTGCGGGCACGGACCCCTCAGGGCAGATCTCGTAGAGTACGAAATAGGCTTCCTGACAGACGGCCCGATTTTTTTGCGGGTTAGGCTATTATCCGGAGTGATTTGGCTTGCATGTCTTCTGGCATCTTTAGCTTCGCGGCCGTGAGCCTGTCCGGACTCCCAGTGTCTGAAGCTCTATCCCAGACTTCTCATTCCTCAATCCCAAAACTCCAACCGAAAACCGCAACCCTAAACAAGCCCCAAACCCAAATTCCTCATACCCATGCTTTCGGCGATGAATGTTAGGGGTCTGGTCTTACCGGTTTGATCGAAAGGATCCAGGAACAAACACAGTGTGCTTTAGACAGGCCTCGAACCCGAAATCCAAATCCTCAAATCATGGGGTTTGGAGAACCCGGTGGAATTGTAGCTTTGAAAGCCTGCTCAACAAATAGCAGGATTTGGAGAACTGTTTACACAGAGTGTTCAGGCCCTTGAAGCCTTGAAGCTTGATCGTGCCACGGTTGGGGTTGTTCTGTGGCAGGCTTCTCTTTCATTGATATTGCCCATCAAAGGAGGGTTTTGACGCAAGCCTTTCGGGACATGAGATAGACAAGGATCAACACAACTATCTCTGTAGGATGTTCAAATCGATGCCAACGAATGCAGCTGACTTTTCACGCTCCCATAAAACTACTCGGTGCCGACGTTTCGTAACTAGAGCTCTTCGGGGCTTTGGGCTTTGGGCACGATAAATGCTGCGCAATGTGAAAAAGGTCACACGCAGGCTTCACCTGCACATAACCCTTCACTCGATGGCTGCTGCTGCAAAATAAAATTTTACAAGACCCAAAGCTTCAGTGATTGAATTTTCGGGGGGTTTGCAGTTTAAGGTTCAAGGTGGCTCCAGGATGCTGGGGTTTGGGATGTCTGTCCCTGATAAAGACTTCAAATTATGCGGCTAGCGACAGTCACCACATCCGCAGGAAAGCACCTCACTGATCCGCTGCATGTCCACAGCGGGATACGGCCTGAGGGAATTCTTCGGACTCCGGCCGGAAACCCTGTAAGCCATAAGAATCCAAGGTCCGCAGCCCTAAACTCCTCAACTTGGAGCCCCAAAGCCAACGGGCCTTGATCTCAGGGGCCGGGTTTGGGCTCAGTACCGCAGGAAACATCGTCTGTCATTGCGGCTTGAATGGCTTGATGCTGCGGATTTCAGGTGCAGCTTCAAGACCGGCAGTGCAGAACTGGATGTCCCAAGTCCGCGGCACAGGACTCCCTAAACCTCTAAGGCCGCAAACTAGCCAGACCCAACTGGTGATTCGATTCACTGCACTGTGTCTCAGGGATTGGAGCCTATAAGTTGTCAGTTGGCAGAGCGTTTAGAGAGGTGCCTAAACTGCATGCCGAGCCCCCTACCCCTCGGACCTTTACGTGCACAATTCTGAAATCCTAAATACTCACCCTCGACCCAACGCGATTTCGATTGGTCCAGGTTCAGAGTTCAGGATTTAAAATAAACATCGTAGACTCCGGGGTGACCAGTTAGGGCTTATGAAACGGCCAGAACCACTTATCCACGTCCCTGTTCCAAAGCGCCCGACAGCGAAAAGGGCGTCTTGTTGTAATCCTTGGAACGTGGGCGTGTGTGCACGAGCCCTTCAGGGATTTTCCAAGCTTGAGTGCAACCTTGACTGAATATTGACTGCAAGCCCTGCACACTATCAAGACAGGAACCAGAGTAGTCGAAGGGACTAAGCTCGCACTGGCGGAGTCCTAAACCCCTGAACTCGGTGCCTCTAGGACCTTAGATTCTCTCGACGGACCTTGGAGGCCTTCGGCGTGGCTTCTATGAGTCGAGCTTTTCTGGGAAGTCAGGGTTCCGAAGGCCTTTCCGAGATTCAAGATAAGGCTGCTGGAGGCTTTCGCAGGTCCGTGGTTCATGGCTTGAAGTGACGGGGCCCGCCTGAATCCCGAATTGCAGACTTTCCTGTTAGGCGAGGCCACTACCTCCAAGATGGCCTGAACGTCTAGATGGAAGTAACAGTACGAGAAACTGAAGGGCGTTTATGTTATAGGTCCCTGATTGTACAGGTCACCAAGCGGAAACCCCCGGCCCACTCAACAAGCGTCAGGTCAGCTTCTGCTCGGATACACGATGCACTCTGTAACTTGGCTTTGGGGAGGCCGCGTCGACCGAAAAATAAAACCAAACAAGGAGCGAGTCTTTTCAACTTCATTTCGTATGCATTGGGACTGAACCCACTGTTGAAATTTGGGGTTGTAGGGTTTCTGGCGGGCCAGGGTGTATTGGGATGTTAATGTAGGGCTATACAGAGGGGTGGAAATTTTTTTGCGCTCAGACCTGACTCTCCTTTCTAAAGGTCCTATCCTGCACGCAGCGAGTGAAGGCATGAACGCGCTGCCTCAGCTTTTGAGCTGGTCGAGATGCTGCCAGGTGTTGTATGTTTCGCAGCAGTTCCAGCCCTGCCCTCGACATCTTAGGACCTCAGGGCCTTGACTGCAACACCAAGCTCTAAGCCACCAACTTTACGAACCTAGCCCAAGCCACAGCATCTGTACGCTTTAGATGACGGTCGAGTTCGTACCCAAGCCCCGAGGTCAGCGCGTACTTGGTGTAGTGCAGGTGCTTATCGATCCGCTTCTCCCAGCCACAGTTGTCTGCATCCGAATGGACCTCAAGAGACACTGCAAAGTGTTGGAAAATGGAGCCTTGGGAAAAAACAACCAATGGCGAAACGGGGCATAATGGTGACACAAAGATGTTGTACGCCGGCATCAAAGTTCATCGTCTGCTTCTTCGGGCCTAGCCCGGATCAGTTTCACAGGCTCATCATCTTCTTCTGGTGATCCAAGCTCTCCGACTACCAATGAATGCAGTGAATGAAACTGTCGAGCTGCTGTTGTCGCTGCTGCTGATGATGCTGATGATGACGATGATGATGATGATGATGGTGATGGTGATGGTGATGATGATGATGATGACTGCGATTGGCGCGACAGTTGTTCCACGGCCCATGGACCAATGATCCTTCCGGCTCTTGTCATAAGCAAGTATGACTCCTGGTAGCGTTGTCACTTGTGCTGCTCTTCTACTCTCATCATTTCATTCTGCACTTGGTAATAACAGAAGTCTGTGACTCATGAAGCTTGAGCTCGTGATGGATTCGGGAAGTCATCCGAAGTGAGGTCCGCTGTGTTAGACAAACTTGACACGCCCCCACTCTCCACCTCGCCCCCTTGCAGCAGACGCTTTAGCAAACTGAAACTTCGAATCGTCCCAACACATTCGCATCTGTCGGGTCTCTACATACTCTTGTGTGTGGGTAAGCCCGCATAATGAAATCTGCGATAAACTCTATCTAGCCCGAAGACCCCACGCATGATGTATTCTAGAGCGACGAAGCACGCATTGGGCACGACAGCCTGCTGTCATTGAGTTCATGTGCCAGCAAGCACATGATAGACTCGGAGCCTCTACCCTAAACCTTACACACCTCCTTGCTTTTCTGTTCCAAGTCAGGTCAGTCCGGGCACGAGCTCGAATTTGCTGCGTTCACATGCGTTGCCGTCGAGTGAGAATGCACAGCCCAGACCAAGAAGCGCAATGGGAACGAGTATCTGCAGGCCTAATCCAAATAATACTTTTATGGCCTCATCCGCAAGGCTTGAAAAGAAGAGGCTCTTGGCTGGGATGCCTAGCGGTGCAGGTGTAACCTAGGTGTAACCTAAAGGCATTCAACCCCGCCCCGGCCCCCCCGGGCCACTCAACAAGTTAAGATCAAGACGAAAGGCTCGCTACAGCCCACTTCGATCATACACTTCTCAAGGAGATTTTCAACCATGTCATCCTGACAGATGAACGGAACCACTTGCATCGTCACAGGCAACAACATCTGGCTTCCGCCTTCATGCGCGTACTGTTGGTGTCCTGACTAGTAGCAGCAGCGTTCATGCCAAGATTTACGTCGGGATAAACCAGGGATCATGGATGATCATGGAGAACGAACATAGACAAGCTTTCCCAATCCTTCTTTTTGTCCGTCTTCAATGAAGCTTAAACGATGGTCCTGAAACTCGAACTGCTTACAGGGTGTAGGCGTAACGCTTTACGGCTCAAGGTAGAATTGTGGGGATCGAACCCTCCTAAGGTTCAGTGCTTGGGGAACAGAAGCTGTATCTGCGCACTCTCCCACACCTGCATGTCCTGCTATTGTATCCGGTCAGAAGCGATTGAACAACCTAAGGGTCTTTCACTAGAAACGGTCAGGGCTTGGTTGGCCTCTGCCATGGCTGCTGACCGCCAGCCTCTTTGTGTAGCATGCGCAGGCTCCCTCCACGACCATCGGAATGTTGGTTGCGTCAGGGTTTCAGGATTCGCGGTTGAAGATGTTGGGTGGCGGGGTTTATGTTCAGATCTGACATCATAAGGCATTTTGTTTGCCACCGGAACGGTGAAGAGTCGGGTGTACTTCTGATCATGACTCTAGCATCTAAGTTAAATTTGTTTAGGGTCAGCGGATGTAGCGCTTGAATGGTTTAGGTTTGTTTCGAAGTTTCCGGTCTAGGTCTATAAGTGTTTAGGGCCTATGGATAGCAGGTAGTCTTTTCGAAGGGAGCCTGACGGAAAGACAGCAGGCGCAAAGCATTGTCTCGCGCCGCCTTAGACTTTCCATCCTCCAGCCGATCCTGCTATGAGTCTTACACTAGATTCAGTCTCAGGGTTCAGGGAGACGGAACAAGGATACAGGCTTCAAGGCGGGATTTTACATTTGACTCTCAACATCTCTCAACCTAAACCCCCCAGCAACAAAAACTCCACTCCGAAAGCTGATACCGCCATGTCCTAAGCCCGCTCGAACGGACAGGGGCCAAAATACCCCACCCCCAAAATGCCACCAACTTCGAACACTAAGCCCCAACAGCCAAATACATACCAATACCAGTTCGAGCCGGCACGCACCTAAATACCCTGAACCCAACCAGCCTGTTCTGACCGAGTATCTTCAACCAGGACAGACGACGTGATCGGCACTCGGATCGCAAGCCCCGAAACTAAAACCTACCAATAGTGAACTTCCGACACCACTAAGACGAGTCCGACAACTTCTTCAGAATCCCAAACCCCAGATTCGTCCTCGAAGCCCTTTCCGATCCTCACCAAGAATTTGTCAATGTCCTCGCCCAACCCTACACTCTCATCCCTCAGCCGCAGCCCAGTATCAAAATTCTAAGTCCTATGTGCCCTTGACCATAGCAGCCCTAAAAAGGCCACGAACTGCCCAGACGGCCAGCAGAGATCGCATTCTCAGAAGAGGTTCCTCAGCCGAATGCTTAATTCAAAGGGCTGTGTGAGGCCCGGCTTTGGGGGCAGTGGCCTCCAGGTTTGGCGCCTTGGTTTAGTACTGCACTGCTCACCGTCCTGGGATTCACTGCCTACAGACGCCTGTAGTGTCGGACATAGGGTTCCGATGTGAACAAGAATACTCTGCGGAAGAGCTACATTGCATGCGCAGAAGTTGATGCACTTTTGGGACACACGAAAGAGCGTTTGGACTTTGGACATCACGAAACGATTTCGGTTGACAGCAACATCACCACTGTCTTCATCGTCACCATCGTCGAAAACACCATCATCCCCACCTAGCACCAGTATCATCATCGCCTCCATCCGCACGTTGATCATCGTCAACACCACCCTCGCGCTTTTCCAGCGAGACTCCTGTCCGTCAGCCATCACATTATTCAACACTTTGAGCCCCAAGCTCGGGACCCTGCAGGCTTCAGCCCGCAAGCAGAAATCGCTGAACCACCACACGTGAAACCTTGAATTACACCTTGAAGGAAGACAGCCCCGCACCTTTGAAGCGCTGGACCTTAAACCCATCAAATCAAAACCGTGACCATTTCATTCGACATGGTTAATATTAAGCCCTGACCCTTACATGCACGAACTGGAACCGGGAGGCGTCTTCTTCATAATGCGCAGGAACTCCTCCTGAAAAACAAACTGGAAGTCTTGCCGATGTATAAATCTTACAGGGCCGGGTTTCCATGGACTTAGCGTTTGGTTCACGGACGCCTGACCTCACCTCACTGGTAGAATCCTTATCCTGGACATCGCTCGACCTTAACAGCACCCGAAGCACCGAACAAAGGCAGCACTTGGGTTTTCCTTCCAGGGTAAGGCCATCTGCATGCTACTCATCAGGATGGCAAGCCAGTTAACGCAGGTACCTTACGCGCAACGTTTACTTTGTAAATCAGCTCGTACTCCTCTGCACGTGCAAGGTCCGAGAGAGTTTTGGATTTGCAGTTGAGGATCAAGATGGTTCAGGGATTCGGATTTCAATAGCATGACTCGGATTACCCTGCCAGGGTGCAGCGCCGCACACTTCAGAATTTGTTGTTGTCAAACAAATGCTCGGTGCGAGCTGCATGCTGATGTTACACGGGTCGCTGATTGCAGCAGTGACAGGGAGACACGCTCGTCACAGCCAGCAGGTGTCAAGTGGCTGGGGCGGGCGGAGCACCCTGCAACAGAATTGGAAGTCGGCGGCAGGATTCATCCACGGGTCATTCCCGTGAACACACTGACTCACCATGACTGGATTCAAGGTGGAGAATTTCTGTGGCCGTTATGTTTCCGCTCCCCCTTGGCCATCGTTATTGTTTTTTTTGTCATTTTTGGGTGGGGTGCCTCGCAAGGTTTAGGCAGGGCAGGCGCCTGGGCGGGGTGGCTGTGGGGAAAGGAAACTAGCACTATGTCACTATTTACTACTTCATACTTACTACTTCTCGAATACCACTTGCCACTTACTTACTACTAACACTACTAACTACAGTACTAACTACTCTACTACTACTACTACTACTACTACTACTACTACTACTACTACTGCTACTACTACTACTACTACTACTACTACTACTACGACTACTACGACTACTGCTACTACTACGACGACGACGACGACGACGACTACTACTACTACTACTACTACTACCTCCTCTACTACTACTACTACTACTACTACTACTACTACTACTACTACTACTAGGCCGTCCAAATCCTGGGACAACCCTGCCAGTGCAGCGCACCTCACAAATCTATTTAAAAAATGCTCGGCGCGAGCTGCATGCTGATGTTACGCAGGGTTGCTGATTTCGGCACTGATAGTTGGTCATAGCCAGCATCTTCACCGCCCCGATCCAACCACAGGAAGCGCACTCAGGGGCGGCATGGAGGGAGTTTCGAACAAATCGAGAAAGGGACGTCCTTGACGTCACTTAGGACATTGATGCGACAGTTCAGAAGTTGCTCCGCCCGGCTGGCTGCATTCTGCAGTGCTGGAGGCAGCCCTCTGGAATTCCACGGAAAATTGTGGTGGGCCTCATATGGCTTCACTGTCATGGTTTGGACCTGGGTGCCGTAACCGGTACAGCAGGTTCGCTGGCAGACCGATTGCACCCAGCCTTTGTTGCCATAGCCGATGCAATGTTGTGTTTCACGGCACTTTGCCCACGCAACCACCTCGACATCATGTTGTCTAGCGCGAACCCGATGCCCGACAACGAAGCATCAGATGCACTAACTTGTCAACAGGATCCATGTTACTGGGCCAAAATCTGTAACCCCCTCGGTGCCCCAAAGATGTTTTTCCCCGTCCTTCTACGAAAACGACACCTCGCGAGATCCCCTTTCCGCCAGATTGCACCGAGATCCCAAGTACCAAGGCAAGATTGGCATCAAGGAGCAGAAGACCAAGAAGTAGGAAAGACCACCAGGGCCAAAGCCCCGAATAGATGATGGGAGGACCCTGACACCAACCGAAGACGCCGAAGACCAGTCCGGTTGATGCGATGCAAGAACAGCATAAGGAGCGTCCATTTACACAACCTGCCCTGCAACGGGCTTGACAGCCGGCGGCAGGACCCATCAAACGTCATTCCCGTGCACCGGGGGTGGGGGAGTGCAGGGTTGAATAGTCTTGAATAGTAGGTGTAGGTTGAGAGTTGGGGTCAGGTTGAGGTGATTGAAGTTTGGAAACTTAACACCAAAAGGCTCCGATCACGAATCACCAAACGCAAAGGTCCCTAGCCCGAAACCTGGATTTCTGCCTGCTTCCTGCCAAACACTATAAACAAACCTTGCTGATGGCGTTATGATCACTTATGAGTGTCATGACTTGAGCTGCTATTCCTGTTAACACGGGTATTCGCCCTGTTGCAACTTTTTTCGTGTTACCCTTATACTCGGCACGAGGAGATGTGGGTAGTACAGTTGGTGGCTGGGGTTGTTGGTTCACGCCTTGCAGCTGCTGGGTCTTCTTGCTGAAGCGCTCCACCACGACTGATGAAGTGTGGCCACTCATATGGCTTCAATTACATGGGTACCTTTATGGGTCATGGTAGATTGACAGAACTCGACTTTTGGATTGACGGCCAGAGATCAATCCTGAGCCTTGTTAAACCCATGAAGTCCAACTAAACACGTATGGACCCTCAAGGCCATGAAGAAACCCTCAAGCCCGAAATCCTAGCCCCGCTTATACACCATGACTCTGTAACGGTCGAAATGCCCGACGTTTTAGATTCCAGTAAAGCCCTCAGCTCCCTTTAGTTTTTGTCCTTTTGTTGTTAGCCCCAACGAGCAGCACCTAAACACACACTGTTGTGGATGTGGGTTCAATAGCACGTTAGTCTGCGAGCTGATCCCACTTACATGCACTCCTGAACACGAAAACGTCACTCTTGGTCCCTGGATCTGTGCCTCGTTGACTTCGCCGTCGCCGTCACGATCGGCCTCGTCGATCATCTCCTGCAGCTCCTTCGAAGGTGATGGGATCTCGTGGGAAATTGAAGGTGGTTTGAGATGTTGAAGGTTGCAACAGTGTGGGGGATGGGGGCAGGGTGGTAGGGGGCGGGGATGACTTCAAGTTCTAGTTGGTAATTGCTCGGTCTTCAAGTAGTCAGGTACAAACTAAACTCGACACAAAAACTACACATGCCCTGCAGCAGGATCAGGCCCAACAGAACGAAGCCAAGCCTCCCCAAGGTAAGCCCGACAATGCTTGTCATATGTTCTTGCATACTGTCACACGGCCGTTTACTCAGGTTCATGCATATGTATGCATGTACTTACATGTACATGTCTATGTCATTTCTGTATCTGTATGTATTTATGTATGCGTGTGTGTGTATGCATGCAAGCAAGCATGCATGCATGCTTGTATGTATGTATATATATATATGTACATACATATGCTCACGCCCTCCCCCCTCATCCACCCGAACCTGCTTTTTGTAAGCAGTGGGTTATGGGACGTGGGCAGCCTCGGATGCGAAAACATCGGCAGGGATCCAATATCCACACAATTCCCGAAGCCTGAAATGCGAAAACATCGGCAGGGATCAAATTTCTCAAAATTCCCAAAATCTGAGCAACTATAGCCCCGCATTCCCCATAGATGCCAGGATTGTAGGAACTTTGGGGAAATTTGATCCCTGTCAATGTTTTTCGCACTTCAGGCTTCAGCAATTTGGGGGAAGTTCGAGCCTGGCAACACTTTAGCAACCTCGGATGCGTAAACATCGGCAGGGACCGAATTTCACCAAAATTCCTTGCCCCCGCGCATGCCAGGATTTTAGGACGCATTCCTCACAAATGCCAGGATTTGATTGTTTTTGTGTAGTTGATTTAACTGTTATTCTTTATTGTTATGCTTAATATTTTTATATTGGCATTATTGTCATTGTTAGTAGTAGTAGTAGTAGTGCTGATGGTGGTGGAATACATGTTGTC